GGTAAAGTTGTGAGTAATATTTTCTTAAATCATTTTAATGGCTGCAGGATTTGTAGTGATACCCTCTAAGTCACTCCTGGAATTGGCATTTGTCTCTTTTCTTATTTTTGTCAGTCTTGCTAGAGGTTTGTCATTTTTATGGAGTTTTTTGAAGGGTAGTTTTTTGTTTTATTGGTTTTTCTCTATTATTTTCTTATTTTCAATTTCATCAATTTTTGCTCTAATTTATATAATTCCCTTTTTCATGCTTGCTTTGGGTTTATTTTGCAGATCTTTTTCCTAGTTTCTTGAGGTAAGAGCTAAGGTTATTGATTTGAGACTTTTCCTCATTTCTAACATAAGCACTTAGAGCTATAAACTTCCCTCTCAGCACTGATTTAGCTGCATCTTATGCATTTTACTATATTGTGTTTTTGGTTTCATTTGTTCTCTGTATTTTTTTTTTTAAGATTTTTTTTAATTGGGGAATTGGGGGGATGGGAACAGTGCTGGGGAATTGGGGAAAGGGGAACAGACAAGTTGCTGTCGTTTTGTTCTTCAATCTAGTTGTGGAGGACGTTGCTTCACTGGCCCAAGTTGGCACCATCATTGCGCTCTTCTCTGGCAAGGCAAATCAGTCGCCAGCTTCTGGACGGCCACTCACTGCGGCTGCTGGCCGCTCACGCTGGCTGCTGGCTACACGGTAGCCCATGGCAACCCACTGCCACAGGGACTGCAGCCCACGCCGTCGCCGGCGACTCACGGCAGCCCAGCTCCAGGTTGAGCTGTTGTTCAGCATCTTAGCTGTGGAGGGCAGTGTCACTGGCCCTCAAATGTGGGATCCGAACCGGGGCCCTCTGGCATCCCAAGCGAGTTCTTAACCATCGCGCCACTCGGCCGGCCCTGTTCTCTGTATTTTTAAAATTACCTTCAAAAATTCCTCTGTGGCCCATGGATTATTTAGAGATATGTTGCTTAAATTCTATATGTTTAGAGATTTTCCTGTTGTCTCTCTGTTATTGATTTCTAATTGATTCAATTATTTCAGTTTTTAAAGGTGTATTGAGTTTTGTTTTATGGCCCAAATGGTCACAATATGGTCTATCTTGGTGACTGTTTCTTGGGTATTCCGATATTGTCTGATGGTGTGTTCTATGTAGGTCACTTAGATTCTGCTGTTGGTTGTATTGTTTAGATCTTCTATAGCTTTGCTCTGTAATATTATTTCATTGTTTGTAACATTTCTTTGCTGAGATTTTCTAGTTTTTCATTTGTTTCAAGAGAATTTGTATTTGATTTTTGAAACATTTTAAGAAGGCTGCTTTTAAACCCTGGTCAAGTGATTTAACATCTGATTACTTTGGTGGCTGGCATCATTTGAATGTCTTTGCTCATTTACATTGTAGTTGTCTTGGTTCTTGGTATGATGGATAATTTTTATTGTATCTTGAACATGTTGTCTACTCTGTTGGGGGAGTCTAGGCCCTATTGAAATCTTTTATTTTAGCAGCCAATCACTCTGTTGGGTTTAGCACATGGATTCTTGGCCTATTATTGTGGGGTGTGGTCCCAGTGGCAGCTTAATTATAAGAATCTCTGTGGTGCTCTTTTGATCTGCTTGGTTTATCTGATGCTGCCATAGTTCCCAGTCCCTTTTGTGGCTACCTGAGGGGGTGTCATGGGCTTCCCGAGGCATGCTGTGGTGGCTGTGCTGTGGTGGGTTCTCCCACTGGTGCTTTGGATGCCCTGATGTCTCTGGTAAGGGAGTTTAGTCTTGGGCTCATGGGCACAAAGTGTGTCATGAACTGGTACACTGAAACTGGGTCCTTTTTCTGGTTCCAGTCGCCCAACCCAATCCTAAGAATGCTTTAACATGGCTTACAAAAATAAAGCATTACACTTCCAGCTATTTTATTATTATTTTATTTTATTTATTTGTTTTTTTATTTTTTAAAGATTTTTTATTGGGGGAATTGGCAGAGGGGAACAGCGTTGGGGAATTGGGGAAGGGGAACAGACAAGTTGTTGTCCTTTTGTTCTTCAGTCTAACTGTGGAGGACGTCGCTTCATTGGCCCATGTTGGTATTATCTCTGCGTTCTTCCTGGGAGAGGCAGTCACTCACTGGCCATTGGATGACTGTTCACAGCAGCTCTTGGCAGCTCACAAAAGCTCACACCTGCTGCGGGCCAGCCCCACTGCAGCCTATGCAGTCACCAGTGACTCACGGCAGCCCAGCTCCAGGTCGAGCTGTTGTTCACCATCTTAGCTGTAGAGGGCGCAGCGTCGCTGGCCCTCATGTGGGATCCAAACCAGGGCCCTGCTCCTCAGAACTGGTGTCCCAAGCCAACTCCTAACCAATGCGCCACTACGTCGGCCCGCTTCCAGCATTTTTAATAACTCAGTGATGTTTGCAACAGGCCCCTTACTCCATTTCTAAGAATGTATCAGCGTGTACTAACCCCCATGGCTCAGGAAGGGCTGAGAGCAGGGTGTCAAAGGTCACGTTGCCTGGCAGTCAGAAGCAGGGATTGCATACGGTGGAATGAGGACATGTCTAATTGGTCACCTTAAGATGTCTGGCTATGCAAGTGTCAATATGGCTGGTTTAATTACTTCATTAATTTAACCTTTCTCTACCTCAGTTAAGAGCTTTGGAGCTTAAACCTAGATGGATAGCCCCTCTCAGCCACTCACTAGTTGCTGGGATTGTCATATACTTTAGCATCTCTGGGTCTCAGTTTCCTCATTTATGCCACAGGAGTGATGAAAGTCCCCACCTCCCGGGTTTGCTAACATGATGCTGATGTAAACTGCTGAGTGCAGCCAGGAGTTCCTGACTAAACCCGCTCAGTAACCATCAGCAATTATCACCATGATCTGGCGAGTATGGGGTAATGAGGCTGTCTGACTTAATAGTGATAATGAGACAATAATGGTCTTTCTATTAGTACCAATAATGTTGTGTTTAGAAAATAGGACTTGATCAGGGAAGCCTGGATCTGAATCTTGATTCCAGCATTTACTCACTGGGTGGGACGTGGGCAAGCTACTTACCCTCTCAAGCTTCAATTTCCTCATCTGTAAAAAGGGGACAGCGATACCTTATGAGTAGATGAGCCATGCAGAGGGCGCAGAATGTAGCAAGCCAGTGCTCAGTAAATGTTGGTTATAGTTTGCCATGAAGGCAGAAATCTCTGTGTTCTGTTAATGGCTTTATTCCTTTATCCCCAATGCCTAGGACAGAGCTTGGCACACAGTAGTGCTCTGTTCTCATGTGGGGGACCCCTAGCCAGGCTGCCGGCTCTTCTGGCCCAGGGCTGTGTTTGCTTCATGACTGTGTCTTCAGAGCTGCCTGGGAGCCTGACTCCTGCTCTGGGCAGCTGGGGAAACTTCACTGATGGTGCCAGGGGTTAAAAGTATGTCTGAGCCGCCTCCTGCTGTGCACTTACTGAGGCACTCTCTCTCTCTCTCTCTCACACACACACACACACACACACACACACAAACACACACACATACACGAGCACACGCATATTAGACATTAGACTAACAATGGTCCTTCCTGAGGTCCTTGCATCTCCATGATGTTTTGGCCTTGAGGGGGGGCAGGATCAGTGGTCAGGAAGCTGGAGGGTCCCCTTCCACCAAGGTGCTGTCTTTCTGCTGCTTGAGAATCTTAGTGCCCTTTTCCTAGAAAGCGGAAGATGCCGCTCTGGGGGCATCAGGCACCTGCCCCTCCCCCCTCCTCAGCTAGTCACTCTGCAGTGAGTGGGTTTCAGGGCCTTTCCTGGGTACAGTGTTGATGGGAGAAGGGACAGAGAACACAGGAGCTGGGGGCCTGGGGGAGACAGAAGGTGCCGGAAGGAAGAGGAGAAGGTGCTAATATCCACCTCTGCCCTCCTGCCCTCAGCATGTCTTCCTGATTACTGGGTACCTTTGGTTCAGATTTATCAGTGAGCCCTGCTGGGGATGTATTTAAGTCAGCTAAGGCTGCCATAACAGCATACCATAGACTGGGGAGCTTAAGCAACAGACATTTATCTTCTTACAGATCTGGAGGTTAGAATTCCATGATCAAGGTGCTGGCAGGGTCGTTTCTCTTGAGGCCTTGCTGCTTGGGTTGCAGATGTCCACCTTCTTGCTGTGTCCTCACATTGACTTTCCTCTGTGTGCACACCTCTGGGAGCTCTTCCTCGATCTGTAAAGACACCAGTCCTGTTAGATTATGACCCCACTCTTATGACCTCATTTAACCTTAGTTAATGAATCCTTAAAGGTCCTATTATCTCCAAATACAGTCACAGTGGGGATTAGGGCTTCAATAAATACATTTGGGGGGCAGGACACAATTAGGCATAGAACAGAGGATCACAAACCCCAATAAATGTCTATGGGGTCCCCTGAGCGCTGGTCCAATGTGACCCTTTCTTGCTCTAACCTCTCTTCCCTTCCCGTTACCTCTGAGAGCATCTGGCCCAAGCTTCTCATTTCATCCTTGGAGAAAAAGGCTCAGAGAGGGGCAGTGACCTGCCCCAGGTGATATAGCAGGTAGGGAACAGCTGTAGGAGGACAGCAGAGCCTCCTGTCTCTGGCCTGGGACTTTTCCTAATGCCAGTGGTCAGGACTGCTGGGCTGGTGGGCAGCTGGCGCTGGGGACCTGGTGTCAGTGCTGAGAAGGCCTCAGTGCATAGTGGCTGCTTTTGTCTCAAGCCTGGCTTTTATTTTTCTCTCAGTGATTTCAATTTCAGGAGCTTTTCTGTCTGTTTTTATTCTCTCGTCTTTCATTGTGCTTTCTCTTTGGGTAATCTGAGGTTTGCAGGCAGCTAACTATGACGTATACATTCAAATGTAATGCAATAAAATATAATTGAACATATTTCTTTCATGTCTGAGCAGAGGAATAATCTCCCTAGCACATCCTATTTCCTCTTTGCTCCCTCTGCTTTTTTTCCTGAGTATTTTCCTCTCCTCCCCAGAATCTCTGGGATTTGAATGTCCTTGTGGCCTCTGCTCATTGCAGATACACAAATGATCGTGAATTACAGCCCAAGTACCTGTGATCAATAGATGATATTCCTGGGACTGAGGAGAGGGCACCGCCAGTATCCATGTGGGCCTGGGAAGGCTGCCAGCCCCTGGTGGGAAGAGGAGAGGGGTATCTGCTGAGGAGAGGGGTAAGAGCTGGGAGAGTGTCTGTGGGCAAGACCGAGGGGTCTCCTGTGGGCGCCCCTGTCACATAGGCAGGGACCCTCCTGGGCAGATACACTTGTCTCTGCACATGAACTGGGAAAAGGTAGGATCTCTGTTGCTCTGGAACTGAGGCTGGATGTTGGTGATCATGACTTTCAGCCAAAGCATTCATTGTGGGTCCCCAGTGAGGGACGGGATAAGTAGGCACGCCCTGGGTGTGACCATGAATCCACCCAGGATTGTCTCCAAAGCCCCTGCTCTCCTCCCACCCCTACATGGCCTCCTGGGGACCACTGCTAGCTGAAGGTCTACTGTGTGCTCTCACACCTGTGAGCTCATTGAATCGACAGCTCTCCCTGGATATAAGCCTCATGAGGCCTGTTTTTACAGAAGAGGAACCTGAGTTCAGAGTGGGTAAGTGACTAATGACAATTCCAGACTCAGCTAAGGGCTTGAGGGTATTTGTGGGGACAAAAAGATAACACAAGAAACGTGTCTGCTTCAGAAGTGGCAGCTGTTAAAGGACAGGGCACAGTCCCACTGGATGGAGGGGAAATTGAGGCTGGGAACAGAGGAATGACTGACTTTGAGCTTTAAACCCTGAGAGGTCAAGGCTGTCCATCGCCGGCTTCCTTAGGGTGGCTCTGAGAGCAAGAGGACAGACATGGCAGGGCCTGGCCAGGGGCTCCGACCACGTCCATCTTTGCTTGCCCACTGACTCTCCTCCCTGTCAGGCAATTTGTCAGGGAAAAAATGACTTCCCAGTTTTGCCCAAAACTCACTTCTATTAAGTGAAGTAGTTAAGTAGTTGTCACCATCTCAGCCAACGCTCGTGATCATCACTTAGGCCCAGCCTGTGATGCTGGTGTGATTATCATCCCTGGGTTATAGATGGGGAAGCTGAGACGCAGAGAGGGGAAAGGGCATGCCCAATGGCACAGAGCAAGCTAGTGAAGGAACCGGGCTTTGAACTTGGGCTGTCTTGCTCAGAGCCAGTGTCTTCACCTCAACTAACGACGATATGAGAACAACAGTTTATTGGATGCCTCCACGTGCCATGAGGCACATAAGGTCTTGCTTGTAGGTGCCTGGTGCAGGGGCTGTCAACAGCTCTTAGCTACTGCAGTAACGAGCCTCTGTAAAAAAGGCCCATGGTGCCTCCTCTGTACCTGTCCTAGGGTGACAATAGCGGGAGTGCCGGTTCACACATGTGAATAATTCCTGTGTGTGCTGGGCACCCTCACTTGCATTTGCTCACTTCATTCTCACAGCCCCCCATGAGAGGGGTCTGTTCTCACCCCAATTCTACAGCTGAGGACACTGAGGCTCAGGGAGGTGACCCAGGTCGAGGGAGGGCAGATGGGGCTCCAGGATCGTCAGGTTCCAGCTGCCATGCTCTGACCCACTGCAGGGCCTGGGGGGAGCCTCACAGGCAGGTGCTCAGGTAACCCCTCCCGCCCTGCTGTCACCCGGGTCCAGGTGGTGGCTAGGGCTGACTTGTCTCCTAACCTTGTTCTCTGTCCCTCTTGAGCTCCTGGGCCCCAGAACCTGTCTGTGTGTGGGGAGATTTGCCCACTGTCCCAGCTGCCTCTCCTTCTCCAAGTCGGTGAATAAACAATAAAATTAATGGAGTCATTATTTCTTGGTCATGAATTGCAACTTCCATTCTTTGGGGAAATAGTATACACTATATATCCTTAACATGGAACATAAGCATATGATAATGATGGATAATACGTTCCACATTGATAGTTTTATTGAAATATGCAAAAGCCACTTCCAACAATTATATATCCGCAGGTACATCACAGTTTAATAACTGCACACAAGGCTCCTTGCTGGCACTGTACTGTGAGCTTGGGCACAAACTGTGAAGTGAAATGTGCAACCCAGCCCTGCTTGGGGTGGGCTGTCACCGCTGCCAGACCCTCACCTGGACTTGCGGCCATCTCTACCATTTCCAGCCTTTCTGGCCCTCTGGGCTTCCTGGAGAGGTGATCTTGGGGGTGTGGGAGGAGGTGCATGGGGGAGAGACAATAGATTTGAATTCTCTGTTTTCCAGATGATAAAGTGAGGTCCATTCCCTCAACCAATCTTTCGATCAACAGTTTACTGAGACTTACTGTGCCAGGCACAGAATTCAGCTGGTGAGGAGCATGGTGAAGACAACTAAAGTAGGTAGAGAGAGAGTCCCTTTTTCATCTTCAAAGATTACCACATTTATTACTGAATTTTGCTCTAATATCCTCTGATTCTAAGATTTGGTGAGTGTAGCTTCCTGTGACAGTGAAATGCCTCCCAACTTCTCTTAGAACAGGCAGCCAGTCCCCCAACTGGAGTCTCCCCAAAGCTTCACGTCACCTCCCTTCTTCCCTTTTAAATCCCATCCAAATCATCCAAAGCCTCTCCCTTCTCTGGGGCCCACTTCAGACTTACTGAGTTTATGGCCCTAACAAAATGTTATTGGCCGTGACAATGACAATTAGAACAATTGTGCTGGGCAAGAGACTCCCGCTAAATTTAGGACCCACACTGAATCACGGCTTTGGGGGCTGAGATGGTCACCAGCCACCCCAGCTGTGCCTGACGGTCCTCCATGTGTCAGACAGTGATGGCCACAGTAACAAAGTGACTCTGCCCCTCTCCAGCAGTGTGCCCTGTGTCACCTGGGGTCCCTTCAGGGAGCCCACCCAGGTCAGGGGTTCATTGGCTGTTTGGGTTCCCAGCTCCGCGCCCCCCGCCCCTTCCTCCTCTGAGCCTCCTGCACTCTCCCCTCCCTGCTCTCAGGGTGGCAGCTCACCGTTTATCTCTGGGGGCCTCGTCAGAGGCTGTTGTTACATCCTGGTTCCAAACCCTGATGGAGGAGACCCAATCCCTGTTAATGGCCCTGAGCCCCAGGATTGGTAGAGGGAGGCAGTGTGGCAAAGTGGTTAGGCCACTGGCTTTGGATGGCCCTGGTTCCATCTGGGTTTTGCCACTTCCTCACTGTGAGGTGGTGGGCAAGTTACCTATCTGAGCTTGGTCCCCACACATGTGAGCTGAAGATTATAAATGCATCTATCTTATGGGGTGGAGGCCAGGTTTAGATGTGTTAAGACATGTGACATGCTCAGTGAAGGATTCTGTTATTACTGTCATGTAGTGACGTCTTTGGCCCCAAGTACCCCAGGTGGGTAATTCCTGCACCTGGAAGGTGCCACCCTGCCTAGGCCTCTTGCCACTGGAGCAGGGAGCAGACAATGGCCTTAGATCTCACAGACCCTGATTCAACCTCCAGCACTCACTCACTGTGTGTCGTGGGCAGGTGGCCTAACCTCTCTGAGCCTCATCAGTTTTCCCTCTGTCACATGGCACAGTGATGCTGAGAGCACAGCGTCACTGTGAGGATTCAATGAGGACACCTCAGCAGGAAGCAGCTTCCCGAGCTCACATGACACTTGTGGGCAGCAATTGGGGGTGGGACTCTGGGCAAACCCAGGGCCTCTCTGTGCCTCGGATCCTCACCTGTAACATGGCAACTGTGACAGTCTGTGCTGTGTAGGACATTGTGGGGACTCCATGCTCTAATGTGTGTTAAATGCCTGATACATGGTGAGTCCTCAATGCACATTAACTGGCGATGTTGTTGTTGTTATTATTATCATCCAGCTTGTAGGCAAATGCCCCCGTTTTGTCTTTGTACATCAAGCCCCTGGCACAGGGTCCAGGAATAGCAAAGGCTGACACTTAATGGAGCAGGGAGAGCAGGGACTCGGGAGCGAACTGCCTGGGTTCAAGGCCCAGCTCCAACACTTCTGAACTGTGTGAGCTAGTTTCTAAACCTCTCTGAGCTTTAGTAAGTCTCGTGTTTAAAATGGGGGGATAGTAACTGTGCCTCCTTTGGAGGACTATTGAAATAATTTAGTGGACCAATGCATGCTCAGCATAGCACCTGGCATATGGCGCTGGCTTTGATTATTCCGGGCCCCATGGGAGCGTTGGCATGGACAGGGCTCTACACATCTCTCTTTCTGCCACCACTGCACTTAGAGATGGAGAAACTGAGGCCAAGAGACGCGAAATTAAACGCCTGAGAACAAGACAGTAGATGGCCATGCTAAATTATGCAGGACGGGCAATTAGAGAACAAAACGATCTCCACTAAAGGGCTAATTGGGCAGAATAGACGCCAAGTGCACCGGGAGCCTGAGATGGGGGTGGGGGAAGTGCAGCCTGGGACGGGCCGGCCTCGGCCAGGGCCCAGGTACCTCATTAATAACACTGATCTGTCCCCCTTAATGCAAGTGATGCATCCTTATGGGGAAGCTTTGGAAAGTGCAAACATTAATATAAAAGAGTATATAAATCACTATATCTCACTCCCCAAGACAGTCGTTTTTACTGTCTTCACCTTTTTTTTCTTCTCATATATAATTACATTTCCATAACTCATTTGACATTGGTGTGACTCTCAGGATATGCTAGGATATGATTAAAAAACAAACAGCCCCTCAAAATAACAAAGGTTAGAACAGCCTCCTATAAGGAGATTTTGGGTGCAATAGTATGAAGTTTTAAGACTAATAATGCCTGATATTCATGGAGTGAATGATCCTTAGGTCCTGTGTGCTGGCCGTCACGGAACCCCACAGCCAGGATCCTCTCCCGCTCCCCAGGCTCCCACCCTGGTCCTACCACCGTCACGCAGTGGCCTCCAGCCTGGTCCCCTGCCTCTGCCCTGGCCCTGCTCCTGTCACTGCAGCAGCTGGGTGGCTCTGTGGGACTCAGGGCGGAGCTGCCCCTGCTCTGCTCTGCGCCTCCCTTGGCTCCAGCCTCTCTCTGTGCACCTGGAGCCCTGCAGCCTCCTGCCCCACCCCCACCCCCACCCCAGCCCATCACCCTCATCATTCTCCTCAGACCTCCCTGGACCCTCAGCACCCACCGTCCCTTGCTTGCCTGTCCCCCAGCTGGAGCCTCCTCCCCATGTCTGCCCCACTCCCTCCCTCACCTCTTTCAGGCCTTTGCCCCAGTGTTACCTGCTCTCACAGGCCTTCTCTGATCACCTGTGTATAACTGTGACCCCTCAAACCCTCCGCTGCTCCCCTTTCCTCCTGGCTCTTCTCCCAGACTTTCACACTCTGCAGTCACCATTAATGCTCAGTGGGTCTCCTCTTTCTAGAATCAGGGCGCTCCCTGTTTCCAAGGACAGTGTGGGCTCTTTTTGGACTTTTGCTGAAAAGCGAGTGCCTTGAGTGCTGGGTACGTGTCACGTGTAAGAAGCTGTCCTAGAAATGCAGTATTGTCCCCTTACTTCTCACCACAGCCCTGTGAAGCGGGTTCTAGAAACGCCTCTATTTTTTCCCAGGAGGAAACAGGCTTGGCTTGGCTCAAGACCTTGCCTGGCTCCTCACAGCTGATGAGGGGTGGGGTCAGCATTCCCAGGGCTGGGCTCGGAGCACTGCTGGGGCCCATGCAGTTGGGATGCTGTTCTGGAGTGTTCCACAAAGGGCATGGTTATTGAGGCTTGCACGAGTTGACCTTCTCACCATACCACTGCCAGCACTGGGAATCTTGCTAATTCGATGCTGAGAAATGGTATCTCAGTGAAATTCCATCTGCATTCACTCCCTTTGATTCTGAGCTCTGAGCTGGTCCATGTTGGGGTTTCATGGACAGCAGGAGAACAGGGTACACACGGACAGCCCATGGCCCCCAGTCCTCCCCCTCTGGCCCTCCACCTGGCAGCTCTGACCACCTTGGGGCGGGTGGCCTTGATGCCTTCCTCCCCTACAACCCATTCAGTTCAAAGTACTTTCACCTCTCCTAGCTCAGGCCCTAATCAGGCCCAGGGGCCCCTGATTTCCATGACACAATCCTGGACCTGGGACTCCCCCAACCCCGGCTTACATCTCTTTGCCTAAACTACAGTAAGGATTTTTCTGTTCCTTGCAAAGAGCCCTCACTCAGATACCAAGGAAACCTGTCTATTAAATAAATAAATAAATAAATAAATAAATAAATAAATAAATAAATAAAAAGATTTAAAAAAGCACTCTTTCCAACAATGAATGCCTCTCTCTCAGAGAGGCCTCATCAAATAAGAGGCTGAGGCTTTTACAAAACTATGTGGAAATTAAACCCACAATCTGGGCACACACTTGTCTGACATGTGATAATTAACTGCCAACAATATAATTTCAGCTTGGATGTAGATATGTTTTTCATTAAAAAGTAATCAAAGATCCTGGCTTTGGGGACTCCCGTCCCATCTGTGGAGCTCAGCCCCTCTGCTGACAGCTTCAGAGTTGGCGTTGAGGGTCCACTGCTCTCTGCCAGGTTGGATTTGGACTCCAGAAGTGGTGCTAGCATGGGTCTCTGGACTTTCTGGGCCCCACAGGCTCCAGGCAATTCTCAGAAGACAGCTCACCCAGGTCCCCTCTCACTAAGGGTCCATCCTCTGGGCGCCTGGAGCCCCTGAATGTGCCAAGCAGGGACTTGGCACCAACTGCAGCTTCAGGGAGGGAGGTGGCACTCTGGTCTCTGCTGCCCCTGCCATGCCTCGTGTCCTGCAGGGGTCCTAGCCCATCCTCCATTTGACAGAGAGGGAAACTGAGGCTCAGAAAGGTGGGGTCACTTACTCAAGGCCACATAGCTCTTGAGATGTGAGCTCTGACTTGCCTGACCCCTGCGCCCCCCAACTCCCTTTCTCTAATAAACTCATTTGTTCTGTGCTTCAGTTTCATCACCTGTACAATAGGGATAATACTAGTACTCTCCTTATGATGTTGTTTGAGGATGAAATAAGTTAATACAGCACTTAGAACAGTGCTGGTACATAGTAAATAAATCCTCAGTATGTGTTAGCGATAACACTTATTATCGATATTAATATTTTCTGTAGACTGAATGTTTGTGTTTTCTCCCCTCACCTCCAGCTACCAAATTCATATGTTGAAACCCCTTTACATCCCCAATGTGAAAATATTAGGCGGTGGGGCCTTTGGGGAATGATTAGGTCATGAGAGTGGCGCCCTCGTGATCGGGATTAGTGCCTTTATAAAAGACCCGGAGAGCACCGTCGTCCCTCCTGCCATGTGGGGACAGAGAGAAGATGGCCATCTGTGAACTAGGACTTAGGCTCTCACCAGACTCCCAATCTGTCCTCTGGGCGCCCCAACCTCCAGAACTACGAGAAATAAATTTCTGTTGTTTATAAGACACCTAGTCTACAGGATTCTAAGACAATATTAATAATATCAACAACATGCTGATAGTAGTTGGCAAACTTCTTTTCTCCAACCCACAGACCAGTAGTACTCTGCCCCTTGAATCATCTCTATGAATTCCAAGCAGAATACGTAACATTAAAACCATGACTAGGCAACACTGTACTAAAAATACAGAACAGTAAGAAAAGAGAAGATCTTTAAAAAGCAGCCAGAGGGAAGACAGATGACTTACCAGGGAGTGACAAATAGACAGTAGACTCTCCCCGGCAACATCAGAGACCAGGGAGCTGGGTGCAATATATTTCCTGCTAAGTGAAATGAGCAAAATAGAATTCTAGACCCAGCTAAATTATCATTCAAAAGTGAAGGAGAAAGAAATATATTTTTAGGCAAAGACATGCTTGCGGGCTCTTGTTAAAAGAACTAAAAAAAAAAAAAATCACTCAAGAAGGTGGCCATTGAACCGAGAAGGGAGAGGATCAAACCAGCAATAGTGAGCAAAGAGATGGGTAAATTGGGGGTTTGCCACCGTAAATAAACACAGCAGCACCAGCCATGTTCATCACAGCCAATGCAGAGGCACACAGGGAAGCGTAACTGCAGGCCTGGAACGCACCACCTCCAGGTGGAAAACGGACATCAGAGGAAACACATCTAGGTTTTTGTGCTGTCCTGGGGTGGGGGAGGGGGAGGATATTGATTTACTTTAGACTGTGAAGTCAAGTGTGCTTATTATGATTTTAAGGCCAAAGAAGGAAAGAAGAGAACGGAATATGAAATTTCCAAACCAACAGAGGGAAAAGAGGGAATAAACAAAACCTGATCAATATGAATGGTGGCAGGAAGTGAGCCAAACAGAAACAGAATAAAACCGCAAAGTAAACAGAAAAATCCTTGCAGCGGAATGCACCAAGAAGGAAGGTAGAATCCGGATTCTGCCTTTCACATCTGTAAGTGTGACTTTGGGCAAATGACTGAATGACATCACTTCTCTGACCTCGATTTCTGCATCTGCAAACTGGAGATAATGGTTTTGTTAAAGGGTTATAACAGCACGTTCCATTTAAGGGCTACTAGGAGGATTAAGTGCAGCGAGCACCCAACAAGAGGGAGCTGTCATCAACATCCTCACAGTCTCTCTATGCCAGGCACAGCCCTATGTGTGTCCCATGCACCATCTCACCCCTCATCACAGCCCCATGAGGCAGGTACCACTTATTGTTGTCACTTTAATGATGAGGACACAGGCTCAGAGGAGAGAGGCTTGCCAAAGTCACACACCTGGGGGATTGGACACACACTGGAGATCTCTGACCCTGAATCTACCTGGTGGCTGAATGACTTTGGGCAGCTGACACCACCTCTCTGGTCCTTAGTTTCCTAATCTGCGCATTGTGGGCACACAGGGTGAACACGAGGCTGGGCAGAATGAAGATGTGGACCCTAGGCACCATTCCCAGCACTGGGTAACCGGTCAATAAATGCTGTTATCACCTGCGTTGTGCAGGCAAGGAGACTGAGGCTTAGACAGCCCAAGAGTTGGTGTGACCTTGCTGATCTGTGCTGACCTGTAGGCATCAGGCCCCGGCTGGAGTGTGAGCTCTAGGAAGTGGCCTTGTCTGTCTGGTTTCACTGACTTATACCCAGGGCTGACCTGGGGAATGAATGAATGAGTGAATGAATGAAGTGTCCTTGGTTCCTACTCTATACATCCATTATTCCCATAAGAATGTTCTTCATGCCCAGGAGCCACCCCAACGGGAAGCAACTCTGAGAGCCCTCATGACTGCAGGATACAAGTGAGCCTCTCATTAGGACACAGGACGTCCAGCTGTGTTTTCCTCCATCACACAATCACCATCTGTTACATTGTACACCTTCATCTCTTATGATCTGTTACCCACAGTATCACACCAACTCCACGGGAGCAGAGACTTTATTCATTGCTGGATCTTATGTGGCAGTTGCTTAATAAAGTGACATCACTTGATGTTGAGGTGACATCACCTTTCTGAGCCTCAGTTTTCTCATCTGCACAATGGGAGGATGACACCCCCCTTGCAGCTGTCGAGAGGTACAAAGAGGCTGCAGGTCCTGTCCTCAGTGCAGGGTGACACAGGCAGGGGCGAGTGGCTGCCATTCACCTCTTTACAACAAGGGACCTCGCGTAAGAAATGGATTTTTTGGACATTGCAGTGTGAGTGTCTTCTTTTCTCTTTTTCCCTTGGATGAGAAAGCTTTCTGCATCCAAGCTTTATTTTATCAGAAGAATAAGAGATAATCATACTGGCCCAAGCAGTCCTTCAGGGAAATTTCCAAACGGACAAAGAGGCGAGAGGCGTCTCTCCCAAGACAACCTCTGATTTATCCTTTGCTTAGTCAATAACAAAACTATTATCATTTTTTGATGCTTGAAATATCCCAGAAACTGCATTCCTTCAGTTACAGCAGCAGTTCTCAACCAGGGTTGATTTTTATTGGTCAGGGGACATTTGCAATATGTGAAGACATTTTGGTTGTGGTAACTTATTGGGTGTGGGGTGGGGAGTCTTGCTGCTGACATCTTGCAGGGAGAGGCCCAGTTTGCTGCTGAGCATCCTACAATGCACAGGACAGGGCCCCAGAAAAAGAATGATCGGGCCCCAAAATGTCAAAAGTGCTGAAATTGAGAAACTGATTTAAATGGGAGGACAGATGGCCTGGGAGTGAGGTGGGAGCTGGGAGTGATGTCAGTGTGCTTTGTGAGTGGATGTCTGTTTATCAAACTATCTTTTGTTTATAAAGGCAGATTATTAAACACACAATATGTGACAAGGTTAGTCCATTCCTTTAACTAACGTTCATTGAGCACCTACTGTGTGCAGGCACTGTGCTGGGTGCTGAGCGTGCACTGAGGACCAGATCGGTCCCCACCCTCAGTCTGGTGGGGGAGAAACATGCGTCAAGAGGAGGCCCTGTTACCCCACCGTGAGGGACGTGCCCTGTGCTGTGGGGGCACAATAGTGGGGTGTGACTAACTCTGACCCTGAACTAGGTTTAGAGTGAGGACTCCCCGATAACCCAGGGAGCTTGGGAATTTGGAGAACCATCTTCATTTCACAGGGCAGGTGACAGAGGCCCAGATGGGAGAGAGACTTGCCTGATGTCCTGGATCTAGGTTTTAACAAACCTGAGCTCTGTCCACAGGATAACCTGGCCTCAGGGTCTCACAGGACAATCACAGTGACAGTGCCAACCCCTTTCTTCATTCCCAGGCCACACAGCAAACTTTCCCATATCAACATTAATTACACCTCCCGGAGGGTAATTTGTACGGAGACTGTGAAAATGTGTTATTTAAATAGTGATTATTAAAATCATGCTGGGGGTTCGCTAGATAATAGGTAATTATCTGTGACCTGATTGTGCAAACAGCGTAGTCAATTCCATTTAGCTCTCCCCACTGAACCCAGAGTTAGTCTCACCAAGCAGTGCAATCTGGGGCTTCAGCTGACGTTTGTTAAAGAATATTCTTATTAAATCTAAAACGAGTCACCTTAGGAACTTCTGTGGCTGATCTGCCAAGGCCTTGGCCTCGTGTCCAGGTGGAGATACTTCCCTTGCACTTTGGGGTTCATTGCCCTTGAATTTATCCTTCCCCTCCTGCCCCACTGGGAGCATAAACATTCAAGTACCCACTCGTACGTGTTAACTGATGTGCCCTCTGTTCATTCACTCGTTCACCTCTTCCGTTTTTGTTCACTCATCGATCATTTCTTGCATTCATTTTTTTCACACACAGTTAGGCATTGATTTATTCTGTCCTTCGTTCTTTGTTTCATTCATTCTTATTTCCATTGTTTGCCCTTTCATTCAGCCTTTCATTCTTTCTTTGGTTGTCCAATTGTGCACCCACTCTATATGCAGCTATCAGTGATTTCTTCATTAATTTATCCTTTATTTCATTAATTCATTTATTCACTCATAAATATATTCACACATTCATCACCTCCTGCATGCATTTAGTCATTATTTCTTTGTTCATTTGTTTATGTGTTTATGCACTTGCTTATTCAATCATTCATTCATTCACTCATTCATTCATTCAACACGCATGTGCCACTTGTTAATAAACAATATATATTGGTACATTTGGTCCAATGTGATCCCGTAGCTGTCCCTCCAGCACAAGAAAGTTCCAGGGTCTTTTAAGGAAATTTTAATGACAGTATAACATAGTATGTGACAGGAAAAGCACACAAATCACAAGTGTATAGCTGAAGAATTTGTGCAAACAACCGCACCGGCCCCCCAGAAGCCCCTCTGTGACCTCTCCCTGTCACTGCTGTCCTGACTTCTCACAATGTGGATTACCTGTGTTTCTCTAGAGCAGCGGTTCTCAACCTGTGGGTCGCGACCCCTTTGGGGGTTGAACGACCCTTTCACAGGGGTCGCCTAAGACCATCGGAAAACAAAAAGATACTTACATTACGATTCATAACAGTAGCAAAATTACAGTTAGAGAGTAGCAATGAAAATAATTTTATGGTTGAGGGTCACCACAACATGAGGAACTGTATTAAGGGGTCGCGGCATTAGGAAGGTTGAGAACCGCTGCTCTAGAGCTTCAGGTAAATGGATTCATACTGTCTGTGCTCCCACGCATGCAGCTTCCTTTGTGTGACACTGGAGATTTATCCAAGCAACTGCATTAAACTGTGCATGTTTGTTCTTATCAATGGCTGGTGTTCCCTTGTATGAATATGCAACCATTTATCTATCCATCAACTCTAGATGGGATTTGGGTTCTCTCCCTTTTTGCAGCTGTTGTGGATAATGTTGTTATGAACCTTCTTCTGGTGACCATATGAGTGCATCCTCATGGGGCACAGATCCAGGCGTAGAGTCGCTGGGTAAAAGGTTAGCACAAGTTCAGCTCGAGTGGTGCTGACACTTTCTAAAGTGACTGGGTCAATGCGCGTGGCGTGGGGTCTCCCTTTGCCCACAGACTCGCCCTTGAGCCACTCACCCTCCCCATGGCTCCCCTTCCCCTTGTCTCTCTCAGGCCTTCTTCGCTCTGTTTGTTGTCTGAGTCTTGTCTCCCCTCTGGGGCTTCAGTGTAGGCCCCTCCACCCCTCCACCCCACCATCTTGCTGCTGACTCTTTCCGGCCTCATCCTGTCTTTCTGTTCTGAAGAGTCATCCTCAGACCACCATGGGTGATGTCCCCTGGGCCTGGTTTGACCTGTCAACCTCTCCCAGCCTGTGGGTAGACGGGGCTTAACTCTGCTGGGGAAACTCTGGGACCCAGCAGGCATGCCTCAGAGTGATCCCACCTGAGAGCCCAGAGACCTTGGGTCCCTGGCTGTTGCCAGAGGGGTTAATTCTCTGGCCGCTCTGCCCTGCCCCATAGGTCAGAGTGGGCTTAGAAGGCTCAGTGGAACACAGGAGCTGGCCCCTAGAAGTCAGGTCTGCCCTGACGGAGTAGGACCAGGAGTAGTGGGTGGGGCATAGAAGCTGAGGGTAACAAGGCATATCTTAAAGGAACAGGTCTGCCTTGTAGGTCGAGTTGAAATTTATGGAGATACCGAACTTCTAAGCTGAGAGGACTGAGAAGGCTCCTTGCTAGTTCCTCTCACCAGGATCAAAAGCTAACAGCATGAAACCTGGCTTTCCGCAACCTGAGGCTAATTTGCCCTGGGGCTACTTCTTTGGTTTGTTTTCTTAGAATTACCTCCCCTGCTTAAAAGGCACATTTTTGAAAACCTGAAGTAGCTGTTAGTTTCACACCAAAAGAAAACACGTGACCTGTCCCCTGTGTGAATGTGGCATTACATCAAGTTAAAAGGCCCATCAAATGAACACATTACAAAAAGAAAGGGTTTGATTTGGGAAAATTCAAGCTTCAATACACGTATTTTGCCCCTCAACCTTTTATATACTATATATTTTTCACCAAGAGAAGGAAAATTGTTTTTAAAGGTTTCCTTCCCCCCAAATATCTGAATGCGTGTAATTTAAGCTTGTGCCGAACAAGTGAAATGCTAGCCTTTTATCACTTATATAATCCTGCCCTCTTGTTCTTCTCCAAAGCAAGAGACTTCTCCCTGCAATCTCTTTGTCGCCTTTTCAATCTCCTGTGAGAGTCTGAATTCAGGTAAGGGCAGGCAGCTGAGCGATTTCATTTTAGATTTCTCAGCACCTTCCATATACCAATCATCACAGCTGCTACCTCCTGAGGGCCTACTGTGTGCCAAGTGCTGTGTTGGTGTTTTTAAAATTCCTCCTCTCCAACCCTCATGATCTCACTCCCATTGGGTCCACCATCACCCACAGCCCGGATGATTCGGCCCATCCCTCTCCCTGACTCCATTCTTGCCCCTTGTGGTTCCTTCTTCACTGAGCACCAGGAAGAGAGCCTTTAAAAATGCCGGTGCAGCTACTTCTCTCCTCTGCTCACACTCTCCATGGCTCCCACCTTTCTCAGGATAGAGCCAGAGCCCTTCACTGACCCCCAGGACCCCCATGACTTTCCCCCCCCCGCCCCACCCACTCTGCCCCAGCCACCTGGGCCTCCTTGCTGACCCTCAAGTGTGCTGAGCTTGTGCTCACCTCCGACCTCTTTACTTGTGTTTCTGTGGCCTCGGACTCTCTCCCCAGGTCCGCTCATGGCTCACACACAGCCTTAAGTCTAACCGGCCTGTGCTCAAATGAGTGCTTCCCATGGCGGCCCTTCCTGGCCACCCATATATAAAATTGCACCCCAACTTCCTGAACCTACTTCGCACCCCTCCTTTCTGACTAATTTATCTCCTTTCACTTACCACTATGTGACGTCGTCTATGTATCTTATTTACTTACCTAGTTTATCGGCTGCCTTCACAAGAATGTAAGCTCTCTATATAGGTAATGATTTTGATCTTTTTGTTTACGTCTACGTACCATCCTCCTAGAACGTTGACTAAGACATAAATACTTATTGTATGAACGAACAAAAGATTCACATTTGCTGGGATCAGGGGAATATA